CAGCTAGAACAAAAATTTTTTCACTGTTAAATAGGGCATTGTTTACACTATATATACCGCTATTCAAAACAGAAAATTTCGTACCTACGATTTTTTCAGAAAATGCCGCCTAAATGCCCACTGTGTGGTGTCAAGCTATAAATGGAGTGTCGGGATTTTGTGAAGTGAATAGTGCAAGGAACCCAGTCAGATGTCTTCTTCTTCTTTCCAAGATTCTGAGATGAGTCGTTTGCCGACTCGAGATGCCGCCCGGCTTTGTCGTAATACACAGGATATTGATACAATACTCGCTTTGACTAATCATGTTGACCCCGTGGTAAGACAAAGAGCATTGAAAGAAATTCGCCCGTGTCGAGTCAAGGATGATATTGATATTTTTTGGGCACGTGTACTGGAAATGATCGATGACCCAGCAAACAATGTTCGAGAACAGGTAATTCAGTTACTTCTTGCATGTGTCTATAAGCCTTGGTTTTTTTCTTTCTTTTCTGCGAAAAGGTGTTGCACACATTATGTGACGGTTCACCCGATCATATGGAGATGCAAGTTTTGGTTGCATTAGAAATATTCAATCGTGATCCGGATGCGTACATTCGAAGGCGAGCGCACAAAGTTCTCTCGGCCTATCGACGATCAGGCAAATGGAATATTCTTTAGAATAAGGCATAATCTTTTTTTGAGAGAGTGATAAAACAAAAAATAATGTCGATATTCAATGTAATATAATAATAAACTTACTCAAAAATTCAAGTGAAGTTTTGAACACCGCACCTTTTTTTAAGATCTTTCCTATCCGGTGGTCTTTCATCATGAAAACCCAGTTCAAGCGCAGAACGAAAGAAAAATATTTGTTGAACATGACTTGAACGAAAAAAAGAAAAAGCTTGTGTTCTTTCCTTCCTTATTATGAAAGATAATACTAATTATCATTAATTAATGCTACTCTACTCTAATAAAGTCGGATTTGTCTAGTAATTACTGAACGTATAGAATCTCGGGTTATACATCATCCGATACAGAATATTACGGGCTACAAGAAGGACTCTTTTTTAATTTTTTTGAAATAAATTTCGGCGTTCATGCAATTTTCTCTGATGAAGATACTGTTCTCCGCTTTCTTCGTGCGCCAGATTATAGAGTACTTTTTTGATTTCTATCCTTGAAAAATCCGTTGGTCTTCAAGATACGCTTATCCAGAGCTGATCACCTGTATAATTTTTGATTCCCGCGCGGTGCCCGCGCGGGAATAAAATAAAATCTACCCGCGCTGCAATTTGCAGGTTACAAAAAAATCGTTTGTTCTGCGCAGGAAGGGGTTGATTGTGAAAACTTCTGCACTGCTCTACCCTGCAGATGAACTGTTATACCCTAACGAGGGTAGGTATCCAAGTGTAACGCAGATTTTCGAACAGGATATATTCTACATCGTAGAGTGTGATGCGCTGACTACGTTAATAATTTTCTTTTTTCCCAACGGCACTTTTTTGTAGCGTTATAACATTTTCTATGTACGACACTACAACGACACACCTCTGAAAAATATATTTTATCTTGGACACAATTAGACGTTTAGACTCAATAATTTTATATTCTGATCTGGCATTGGCGAACGTCTCTTATTATGCACAAATATTATTCTTTATTAACACGAGTAGATTTTAAATATCAACAGACTATCGTACTGCCGTTGCTATTGGCTAGAGGTAACTCCTGTTGTATACAAAAAAATGCCGTATTTCCTAAACAAATAGTTTGAATGGATGCATTATCTGGCGAGAAATTGACTAGTTTTGATTTAGGTCAAAAATTCATCGAAACTTTCAGCTATCCTTATATAGTCATTCATCAAGATGATTTACTTCAATCTTATATAACGCATGTTTAGCTAATTCACTGGTGACATCAGAATCATCTAAACATATTGATAATATTGAAGAATGATCGAAATCTATTGTACTAATGTGTATGATGGAACACGATATGATTGTGGTATGTGTATTGGAGCTGATGATCTTTGGTCACAAACACGAAAGTTTGTACACGATGATCGAGAACCGATTAATCTTGGATATGTAGCGTATCGTGGTTCAGTGCCAATAGAACAAGTATTAGAGAAAGCCGATAGAGAGAATGTACTGTTTTATGTCAGATCGGAAATGCATCTCTTTAATGTCCTATGTGTGTCGAGGCGAATTATATTTTCGAGCAGCTATTTCTAAATCAAAACGTCCGTTAAAAGGTACAGACGAGCGGGGGCAGAAGAAGAGTTAAATGAATGTTTCGGTAGTGCTAGTTGTTGTGCACCAGCGAGAAATGCTTTACCTCAATTGAAAACAAATTTTCATTGGTCAGTGTACTATCGGGAACCACTATCAGAATGGAGTCGTGGTCGTTTAGTGTCATTAGGTGATGCTGCTCATTCGATGTTGCCATACGCTGCACCGGGCGTGGCTCAAGCTTTAGAAGATGCTGCCACTTTAGTTGCAGCTTATTCGAAATACGGTGCCAAAGATATTTTATCACTGTTTAAAACATACGAACAAGAACGTATACCACGTTCGGCGAGAGTTGCTCAGTTTAATGCTTTAAAGGTGTTGTACTTATTGTCAATTTAATTTCTTTTTTATTTATCCATATGTAAACTTAAAACTTTTTTCGCAGGACGATTTCGTTCTTATTTTTATTTAATTTATTTCCTTTATTGTTATTTTCTCGTTGTACTGTCATCGTGTTGTGAACGTTGTATCACAAATATCACTTTTTGGACGGCTTTCAGCAAAATGATCATGGGCTTTACAGAAAACCTCGCGGAGAGCCGGAGAATATCTCTTATTGCAGAGAAATCTTTGTTCTACAAGGATGACTATTTGAGAAAATTTTCAAGTCCTGAAAGGAAGAGAAAGATAGCGAAAAATTAAAGTTTGGTTCTATTCAGCATAACGTAACAAACCCCCGAACTTTTGTATCACACATCTTCACCATCTTCTGAAATTTTTCATTTGATCGACTTAATAGGCCGACACATAAATTAAACGGTTTAGAAAGTGCTATGTTTAACCTAGACTATGTGGCTAATTAAAACGTAGGTTTAGTTGAAGTTTTGTCTGTTCGATAAAATCCTCACTTTTGTCTATCCTATAGAAATGTCAAGGTAAAAAAATGATATCATAAGGAACAGGAACTTTTCCAGTGGAATGGTTGAAACGCTGGTGACGTCATGTGACTTTTTGTCCCTGACTGCTTTTCGAATAACACAGAACCGATAAAGATAGAGACATGCAGTTTTCAGCAATCGAAAGAGAACACTTTAAGCTATATTTTCATAAGCAGAAGCATTTTCTAAAAAGGTTTCTGAAATCGTTTTTCAGAGGTTCTTCAGAAACCAGCTTTTAAGTGAAAAATGTTACATAGCAATCTATCGACTATTTTGATAGGTAGGTAGTCCAAAGTATTCTACAAAATACGATCTAAACAAAAGCTCCAGTTTTTGTTTGATTCTGGAGCTGAATTGAGTTCTGAATTTTTTACTTTTTGATGAAAATAGCCTCAATGGATTATTCCATCTAGTACATGTTTTCACTCAGTTCCTGCATTTTGTTCTAAAAACTAACATTGCCACGAGATTCAGCGTGGTGGATAATCTATGTTTTCATGCATTTCTGGCGGTCACAGACCGAAGATTAAAGAAGTCCCCGAACTTCTTTGGATAAAATCTCGAGAGTTCCCGCTTCAAACAAAATGAAGCGTTTGTTTAGATCGTATTTTGTAGAGAATACTTTGGACTACGTGTTTATGAAAAAAGCCGATAGATTGCAATATAAGATTTTTCACTTAGAAGCTGGTATCCAGAGACTAGTTACTGAGAAAATGGATTTAGTTCATAACGCTGGAGTTTTGTAACAGGTATGGTGTAAGTCAAATTGAGTAAGATGACAAAGACTGTCATACAACAGAGAAGATGAAGTAACGAATGTAAGTGACGGAGAAGTTGCAGATGATGCAGAGGACTGTATCCATAGATGGCTAGTGTGGAGAAGATCTGAAAGACGGACAAGAAACAGAAAGAAAGTGCGTTTTAGATCAAATGTTCAGGTAGTCAAACTGAGTCATCTCTTATTCATTATCCTGACTGTCTTGAGTTTGTTATAGCAGCCTGTTCACTCTTCATCTGGAAATTAAAGTAATTTGTGTTCCTGCTGTTATGATGTTGAGGATGACTAATTGACATAATCATTATACTCTCGGTGAATTCAATCACAAATGACAATAATATTCTAGATACGTGATGAGTGACAGTCATTTTAGGCAAAGAGACCTTTCTTTTGGCATTGCAGATTATTCCTGATTATCGGGAAGATACAGGGTCGGAAAAATTGTTTTTCCAGGAGGGTACCGCTCAAACTACAAATTATATCACAGAGTATTATATATCAAATTAATGCCCATTAAAAATGAAATCTATGAGTATACTCGATAGTTCATACAACGAGGCT